GAAAGAAATAAGAACGACGATGCCAGGATAGAATATACAGGGTGACCCATTTCGAGTGATACACGCAACTACCTGCTAAACTATTTCTTACATAACAAATAACATTCCATATGGAAAAAATTGTTTCAGGCAAAACTCACTTGATTTTAAGGGGAGCATTTTGTGGCGGTCACAAATTTTATGTAGGTGAATGTGCCTTCCAGATTTCAAAGTGACCATTGTTTTTTTTAATAGAACAATATGTTTTTATTCGGATAGAATTGTAGCTCGTTCCATCGCGAATTCATCGATCTGAACATATTGGTGTTCCAAGGCCATTGCCGTTCAAAACTTACCATCTTTAAATGTCTCCAAGATTTCGTACCTTGTATTTAATATTCGAAGTGATGACCCTGGACATCAATGCAGTCGTCGTGAACAGCAACAAATTACCTTGAATAGCTTTGGAATACCAACATATTATAGATTGATGATTTCGCCATGGAAAAACGTAAAGTTCCATTTGAATAACAAAGGTCACCTTGAAAACTGAAAGACACGACCACCTATACTCTGTCCCACGTTAGAATAACCTCGTTTCACGCATAGGATGTACCTAAAAGGGCGTTGCAACGTCTGAATCCCCCACTTATACACCGTTTTCGTTGACGTCGGTGATACCATGCACTTGGGGTGTCCCATTAACACTAGAACTACCAAACCCGTCAAAATGATGAATAACAGATTTACTATTTTACCATTTCTGAAATTATAATTGTGCTTTTAATGGAATGTATGTTAACTTTTTTAATTTACTACAGATTTTATTTTATGGTGCATTATGCTAGATTGTCTTCCATATTATGATTCTATTATACAATTTAATTTAGTATACATTCAATGCTGGTAATTCTAGTGTTAATTGGTAGGAGACGATGAGGTTGATCTACGAGCAATCGCATGCGTCCATCAGTTGGCAATAGTGCTTATGCATACATGGAACATGTTTAAATAAGATTTGTCACCGTAAAACGTCGCACATAAAACCAAGTAAGCTTTCCATGAAACACTTTTCTATAACAAACAGTTTATGAGATAATTGCATGTATCATTTTAAATGAGACACCCTGTATATATGTACGGAGTCGGGCCAGATGACGAAGCGCAAAAACGAAAGGAGGAAATTGCGGAAACGAAGAGCGTGCGCCTGCTCGGTGGCCACGAGGCAGATAATAAGGCAACGTAAGAAGAAACGTCAGTGTTCACGATGAACGGGGGAATTACCAGGGAGACTGGGGTGCCGACGAAACGGTCGACCAAAGCTGGAAACAACTGGCCGCTAGGAAAGGGATGAAATATGAAAGGCCAGAAGGCGTGTGTAAGTATCGGCTGACGCGCGTGAACCGAAACGTGGCCCCGATGCTTGTTGGACTTAGGCGGTAACGGATAGCTGAACAGGAGAGGAAAATGGAGGAGGAGACGGGAGGAATGTGATACGGAAGGAAGCAAGTGGGTGATGGAGACGTGATCAAAAACAGGACCCGTCGAGGCTGGGAACTAAAGAAACAATACGTATCTGGTACGTGGTCGGGGTCGAGAGTGTTTTTGGGAGAAAGAGGCGCAACAGGATGAGTGTATACAGGTACAACGCCCGTGTAACATGGCGGTTGGGTTTCCTAAAAATTGCCGTCTTTTGCGAATTCGTGTTATATTAAGATATGTAGGGGAAGGGTGTCTAAAACGATCCCTCGGGGTAAAATGATTCTTGGATGCCCTGTGGTTATTAGTCGTGCTATATCGTAATGTCGTTCTACAATAGTTCTCCCCGCACGTCATTAGTCGGTGCTCGAAGTGCCATGTGAATATCAGTGCTCTGTGTGTTGTCCACAAGAAAAATTAAAAATAACTGCAATTTATCTAAGATAAGGTCGTTTTCAATGTTGTGTAACTTTTGTCATAAACGGTTTAATGTGACAGCTGCTTCCTGCGCGGATTTAACCACATTTCAATAATAAGTTAATTAATGTTTCGTTACCGCATGTAACAAGTTGAGGTTATATTCAACCACTGAATGTGAGTTGGTTGTTTGGGGTCATATCATTCCTCCCTAGTAGGGTTGATATGACCCCAAACAACCAATTCTGACTGACGGGGCATTGTTGTAACTAAAACAAAAAAACAATAATATAGCATATGGATAAAATGATTCTTGGGATCATTTTATCCATATGCTATATTATTGTTTTTTTGTTTTAGTTACAACAATGCCCCGTCAGTATGAAAGCAAAATATTGTTTTTTTGTTTTAGTTACAACAATGCCCCGTCAGTATGAAAGAAAAACAACGCGTCAAAGTAGTTTTTATTTAAATAAAATGGAATAAATGAAATGCTTTTTAATGTTCGTCCTATTTACTATCAGTAGGTATAAAATGATCCCCGGGGATCATTTTATACACATACATTACAAAATGATCCTTACTTATGCCTTCAAAAAAATGTGAATAAAAAATATAATTGATCAGGTAGATAAATTTTATTTAAGCCAATGATAAGATAGATAGACTAACTTACAAAAACTACTTTACTTTTATTTAAATAATGAGCATTTGTATCTTTTATATAAATTACGCCTTAAAGGGATCGTTTTAGACACCTTTCCCCTATGTATGTCCAGGGTGAGTCGTTTAATGGGTTATACCTAGGAAGAAGGGCGAAATGAAGAGAATATTTGAGAATTTTGTTTGAAAAACCATAAGCATATATTGGTAGAGAACTTTTTGTATTTCAAAGGGTTACATTTGAAGGAGATTCATTAGGTAGGAGATAAATTGCTTTCGTTTGATTCAGTCTTTTGATAGGTGAACGCGTAGAGGACATGTGAAGGTCAACTTTGTTTCTTTAAATGCAAAGACTGCGAAGAATATTTTTGCCGAAAAGACCAGCAAATTGAAGTTTATATAGATTTTAACTATAGATATCTGTACATAATATAACTTAATCAATCACCACCATTTTCTCTTTCTATACTTTTTTTATTTCTAACAATTCTGTTTATATCTTTCTATTCTTAGTTTCAGAGTTAAATAGACATGTAAATAATTATTGTGAACGTGTAACTATATTTTGTGCAACTCCCGTACATCGTATAAAATACACACAGGCGCCTGATGAGGAGTGTCGTAGGCTAAAATCAGGGGACCTCCTCCCCAGACAAAAATCATAGTCAATGAATAACAGCATAGAAAAAAATAATGAAAAGTCGCGAAACCGTGCATGATTCGCGATTCGACACGGAGTGGCAGAAACATTGGGGTGAAGCTTCGCTATCTTGAGTCCGGTTTTCGCCTTATCACCAGGGATTGCCCGTTCTTCCCTCGTTCCAGTCGCCCGGTTGTTCGTCACAGTTCGGGGTCAACTCCCGGCAACTTTAGTCTCTCCAGTCATCGCGACGAAGACGCTGAAGCTTCAGATAGAGTCGCCAATTCTCGATTGCTTCGAGCGCGCGGAAAGCCACTCTCCGCGAGAGACTCACCCCCCACCCCACCCCCCCCCCCCCCACTTTTGGTCCTCTCCTTCGGTCTTCGGCAAAGCGCGATAATCCAGCCAAAGTTTCATTTGCCGAAGACGATGACCTGGAACGGATGACGAGGAGGGAGAGACTAAGAGCAAGACAGGGAAATAGGTGGGGTCGGAACGATGGGCGAGAGAGAGGGCACGCAGAAATTGAATCTATTATTCTGAAGGCTCAACGACGGAACGCTGAAGGGAAAGATCGCGGCGGTGCCTCCTCGAAGCTCGTCGAAAGTTTGCCTCGTTCTTTTAGATTGTGCCGTTACATTATTTTCCCGGTGAAATGAGATAGAACTCCTATTGCCGGAGGACCATTCGATGGATCCCGTCGAGGTCGGGGAGTCGGTTTTTGTGCCGGCTAACGCGGTACATGCTTTCGAATTTTTTGATGTATTGGTATAATTTTCTTAGGGGTTGTTATTACTACCTTTGATTTTGCATAAAGTGTTGTATAAGAAATTGTAACTGGTCATTAAATAATGTTATGTGTACCAGTGAGACACTTGGTATTTTTCTTAACGAGTAGGCAATTAATATTTCTGGCACTTTGTCCAGTAGAATTGGTACAGAATACTGAAGAACAATAGACTAGGTTCTTGATATGCTCGAGTATAAAGACTAATTTAGTGAAGAATAATGAATTGTTCAGTAATATGCTCAGTGGAAATCAGAGAATTGTTAGTTTGACTTATCTTTCTTCTTGAAAAGTGTTCATTTTAACGTAATTCTACGAGTGTGTATTTAGTATTGTATTTATACGAGGATTAGAATTATGTACTTACATTTATAAGATACTTTGATTCAGTCAGGGTAACTTTGTTCCAAAGTAAAAAAATAATTTCCGATTTTGCAGCTCTTTTGCAGGTATTTTCATTTGAAACAGCTTTTCATGTAAAAGTCAATTTAATTTAACAATTTACAAAGCTTCAAGAACGATAATGATCATTTTCTGGCTTGGAATAAAGTAACCCTGACTGACAATCAGTTATAGTTACCCCAACTTATGGTACTTTCATACGATAATCTGTAATATACGTTGACAAAACTTGCCTAAACAATTTTGACATTCTAGTGATATAACCATCACTCTGTTAAATAGTTATTTCCTAATCACAATATTAATACTCTAAAATTTTAATTTAGGTGTACTAATACTAATGCATCTCGAGTATGAAAAATTCAATCCAGTTTATAGAGCAGACATTAATTCAACAATAAACGACGTAGAAATATTAAATTCAAGGCGTACTCGCTTCGACGAAAGAGAAGCCATCCAATTCCTTAAAAAGTCACAACACAGAGACTCTCTTTCGTTCGTTTGCCTCCAGAGACAGACGATCGATGGAATTTATTTAACGAACAGCCGAGTCACGGCGAAAATAGCGAAGAACACGCTGGGGTTTCTCGGCTAACAAATAATAGATCGCGTTGCGATGATCGAGAGAACCATTTATCTTCCGTGAATCACGGAACTGAGAAGAAAGAATAATGACAAAACGCTTACCTTCCCGGAGCCCCTTGAGTTGCACAAGAGAACACCGGCGGCGTGGATTCTGTACTCCTTGTCGAGTTGCTCATGCTGTCCTTGAATTTTCCTGCAGGCAAAGAGAACAGAGAATGACGTTCCATAAAAAAACTATTCTATCATTAACGGGGAAAGATAATGTAAAAAGTTCCTAGAGCTTTGAGTAATAGAGGTAATTAAATAAGTTCACCTCGAACATCCTATTGCATTTCTTACGATTTAAATGTTCCTTTTTGTATAGGAAAATGTATAAAGTGTTTGCAATGTAATCCCTGACTTGGAATACAGACCAGAAATAGGTACTGTAATGCCGCCATTAGAGGTTATATTGGTAACTTATCTCTCGAAACTGATACTTCTTCTTTGTGCACTTTCTTAAATAGTCCAATAAAGGTACATTATTAATAGTTAAAGGTATAGAATGTTTACTCTGCTTATTAGAATTTTATCGTAAAATTCATTGCCTTGCATACCCACAATATATTTTTTCAATTCAATATATAAAGATATTTCATTTTTCTATAATGTAAACTTAATCTATTCATAAATAATCAATCGCAAATTTGTCATCTTAAAATTTTTAATTTAAACTTTGATTTGAGAAAAAAGAGGGTCTACATTTCCTAACGAATTTAGTCTCTCGTTCCCAATTTGCACGTGGGTGTATTAGATCGCATCAGAACGTTCAGTCAATTAGCGTTTTTGCAAAACGGGTCGGCGTCCCAAAGAAACCGAGCGGCGACTTTACAGCGTTATGTTCAGTTTCAGTCGTGCTCCCTTTTTTTTCCTCCCGTTGGCTGAGGGAAAAAAAAATTAAGCGTTAAAAGGAGTAACGAGACGGAGGACGGCGGCGTCGCCGGCGGCCGCGCCAGCGAATTTTTCCGACCGGTTTCCGCCCAGTGATTTAGGAATCGAAAAAGTTCCACGGATGGACGAACGTCGCCCCGCGAAAACTTGGGCAATTACGTGAAAGCAAACAGTCTTACGAATTCATGACGCGAGCTCTGCTTCGCGTTTAGCTCTTCTTTCCTCCGGGACCGACACCGTTCGAGCCTCGAATCCGGAAGCGAACTATCGAAATTGAATACGTCCACGCCGACGTTTTCTTCACGATGTCTTTTTCGATATCCCCTTTTTATCATTCCCACGAAGGAAAAATACCGCCTATGATCTTTTCATAATAGAAATTAAACATTTAGATTGTAATTGCAACAAATATCTTTTTTGAAAATACCCCCAAATGTTCGATTTACAACGAAAACCTAAGTATAAAGAGCATTTTCTTTTAATGTAACTTCTTCGAAACTGACAGGAAAAATACAAAATCAAATGTGATATTAATGGAACAGTGAACTCACAACACTGGAATACACTAACACCAAGGTAGAAAATAATACAAAAAGGAAAAGAAACAAATAATCATATGTTGATTTATGATGGTCATCCATGGTAGTAGTTATTGCTACGGATGTTTACGCGAATTGAGGGATTTTGTCTTTAATTTATATGGGGTGTACCAAGAAATAACTTACTATATTTCGCCAAATTTCACATTTATTTATCAAGAAATCAGCAGCTTGTACCACTACAGTAATATTAATCCTCGTTCTGTGCTAGCCTCCTTCATATTTATAAAAACAGGACGGGTAAATATTTAATTATTAAAATATTAAAAAAGTTAAAATATTCGAACATAAAGTATGTTACCACTTTATTAAAATAAACGAATGGATTACTTCTTTTTGAATTGACAGCTTCTATAAAAGTAATAATTTCAGTGGATTTTAACATAACTGCCTATACAAATTTTCTTATATTATACTTGTATTTTCTTAAATAATCGTATGTCCAAATGTGTGGCAGATATGCTGTCATCGTGAATGCCCACGGGATACAGTAAGAGAAACTAGATTGTTTAGGGATTTCAAGATAAGCCCGAGGACAGACCGAGTGACGACAGTGATACATGAGTCTTTAGGGTAGCGGATTCACTCAATCTTTGGAGAACAATAACGTCACACTGTGTTGCTAAATTTATTACGGAAATAACTTGACTGTACCACACATTAATTAAGTACCTTATAATTTGCAGGTGATCCTATTTTCCACATTAGCTCGAGCAAAGCTATAATAGATTCTACATGAATTATCAACCTCGAAAGTATTGTTTTCGATAGAGTTCTTACTTTGTTCTTTATATCAAGAAAATATACATTATTAACTCTCAAAAGACAAATGTGATTCTGTATGTTCGACTTGTTTTTCCACGTAGAATCACCTCATGCCCGCTTGTACATAACTTTCTGAGGCAGTACGTTCAGTGGCAAGTAGAAACAGACTGCAACGTACAGACGCGTTAGCCAAGTCTATTGAAATTCGACTTTCTCGAAAACGAATCATCGTACAGAAAAATGTTACTCTACATTTTCCACTTAGTTTTGCATGTAGAATCACATCCTTTCGCTATATACGACCATTTCGTTAACACCCTATGTAACGAGTCACCAGGGTACCGATTCTTCTTCGTAAAAACCAACTACAGAATATTTTTCGAGTCACCCCGTGGCCATATCCTGTCAACAGCACGGTAAAAGACGATCGAACGAACATCGAGCATTTATTGCGTGAATAATTCGCAGCTTCCTGTGTCTCGTTCTGCCGTTCAATTTCCGGGGGGCGGCGTTCGAGAAAGGGGATCGTCAATTATTGCTCGGTTTCTCGCGAACGCGCATTCTCCGAACCTCGAGCGCAATATTTCGCGGATGGCATGGCGGTATAAAGACGAAAGAGGGCGTTATTGGGAAGAAACATGGGCCACCAACGCGAATAATTCCGACGGCACACAGTGGTCCAGAAACAAAATTTAGCAGCTCATACGATTATTCAGCTGAAGCAATCAAAAGTTTTCAAACTTATAATTTCTATTTGAATAGAAGCGGATAAATGAACAAATTTTTATCAATTTTACAATTCCTCTTTGATTACGTCTACATTCACTAATAGTGTACTCAACGTCTTCATGAATATTTCAATTTTTAGAGAACTTCTTTTCTATTTTATTACAGAGATTAATAATACGAAAGGATCTAAGGAGACCAATAGTACACTCAGGATTTTATTCTGCGGGGAGGAGTCGAATTGAACGGATATAGAAATATTTTCAATGAAAATTCATGAAATTCATTAGGTGATTATAAAAGATCATTTAAAGAATAAAACCCAGTTTTCTTTTCTTTTTACAAAGCTCCTGAATTACGCAATCGTGATTGTGTTATGGTAGATCCTTTTTATTTGGGGATGTCAGGATCCCTTGCTCCTCGAACCCTCCCATGGATGCGCCATTGAAGGAGAATAATAATGCATGGAACAAGTTTTTTAGATGATAAACAAAATTTATTTCCGACCACTTGAACGGATAAATTTTGATTGTGGGCAATTGTGTGAGACTAAGAACGGGGGTAAGTAGATCGCGTTCCGAAACGTATATACGAACGCCACGGCGACGATATCTCGTGCATTTATCATTGAGGTTATAATCAACGAGACAGTGCCGCCATCTGCAAGCAGGCCCGAAACGCCCGCGGAGCCTCGGAAAGATGTTGCGCAAACAGCGTCGAGGCGCGTACAAGAACGAAGAAGACGAGAGGAAAAGAAAACACAAGTTCCCCCCCCCCCAAAATTTTTTTTTTTTTTTTTTTTTTTTTACCTCGACGCGCGAAGGTGTCGACGGCACTTTGCCTCCGACGACGTCGCCTCTGGGAACAGCCGTCGGCGTTCCTAATTTTCGGGATTCGGGAAATCCGCGCGCGTGCACCTTAGGCGGATACTGGCACGCGAGATTTATCGCTGGAGAAAGGAAATTGGGTGTTCCCCGGTAATACTCGTTACGGTGTCAGGGGGATCGTAGTATTTACTGGACCGACGAGATGATTCCGAGGTATTACCGCGGCAACATTAAAGGTGTTACGAGTCTGCCGAAGAAAATATTGGATTGCCCCGGAAAAGTATTACGTGTTTCGAAATATCGGTTTAGTAAGTCTATTATTGTTCACTGACACATTTATTATTATTATTATTATTATTCATTGAAGAAAAGGAGGAACTTTCTAGTTACAGCAATATATTGTACATACATGATACGAGGGGTCTTTCCAAATTTCTGGGAATTGTGTCATAAATTGTTTATTTTATTAATTTTCGTCCATATTACATTCTAATATAACACCAGTCAGTCTTGTTAACTTCAATAATAATATTGAAAATTAAAAAGCAATAGACTACTGATACGCCTAAGATATTGAATTGTTATATTTATCACTTCCTGCCGTTGTTCTGCGAGGAATTTTATTTTTGTAACGTATAAAAAAAATTATGAAGTAACAAAGTAACTAAAGCTGCATAATGTCTCCCGAGGGATTCTAACATTTAAAGTAGTTAAAATGTGAACTTTAGTTTCTTAAATGTGAAAAGTGAATTCGAAGGACATTCGAGTAATTGGACTGAAGAAAGTGAAATGGCTAGTCACCAGCGGTACTCATTCAGTCGAGACGATAGTATTTACGCGACGAACATGGGGTGACTAAAGCATTGTATGAACTATCGGAATAATCTATTCAATTTCTCGCACGTATTAAAATATTTTACAAACGTATTGATTCTACTGATATTCTACTTTGGAAGGATTCTACAGGGCTGGTGACTGGTGATGATATGAAATTTATAAGCTATATCATTAAACGTGAATTAATTAGTCATTGTGATGAAAATGCAAATTGGATGTAATGAAGCATCATTTATGTAAATCACTTGTATTTTCATATGTGTAATAGTAACGTTTCATGCATAGGTATGGTTTAAAATATAGGTTGTAGTACAATAATAACGCCTTATTCATGTAAATTAATCAAATCAACACAATTCATCAGTTTTAATTTAATATTCCCATGTTTAAATCATGCATATGGTTGATTCTTCTTATCAGACATATTACTGAAGAATAAAACATTATTGTAACATTTTATGACTATTATATTTAATATTTCCAACGATACGAGATATGTCAGTTAAAAATTAACTTTACGTTATGTGTATTCAAATTTAATTTAAGAAAACAACATTAATCCAAAGTGTAAATAATACTGTGGCAAAAACTCTCGATTCAAAATCCTTACTTTATACCATAAAATATACCGGGTGTTTCAGAAGCGTTTCGTTCAATTTAACGTGTACACTAATAACATATTTGTACACAAATTTTTTTCCAAAATGCAGGTTCATCTTTCAAGCGAAACAATAAAAGTTCAGTATGTACCTATCGCAATATTTAAATTGTTCATTAACAAGCAGAGCTAACCACACAGCAAAGGTGATTAACCGAAACGTATTTTTCGCGGGAGTAAACGATGAGAATTCGTAGGTTAGACTTCGGACAACTCGCGCCGGAAGCTACACGGTACTGCATAATTCCACGGTAGTTTGATCAAATTGTTAGTTCGCCGGAGGACAAGCGCTAATAAATCTTGAACGAGTTAATCCTCCCTCCCCTTTTCTGCCTTTCGGCGTGGAAAGGGAAACTACCAGCCAGAGTTCGTGTTACGGGGAGGGGGAGGTCCAGTGCCAACTTGCGAAATATATTATTCGAAAGCTACCGTCCAGGAAAATGGATGTTTCCTTAACCGAATTTTTTTTACCGTCCGGCTGCCGGTTTTTATAGTTACGCCTGGAAATTTCGAAATTCAGGGAATTTGCAGGAAAGGCTTTCAGTGGAATTATTTTCGTGATGACGCATGCGATACTGCGTTAATTCCCTTTGATCCTGATTTTATCTTCAATTTTATCGTTTCAAGTATTATTTTCATTGCATTAACAACATATTTCGTACTTTCACCGAAAGTGAAACAATGAATATTGCTTTTCTATTTTTTTGCTCTTATATCACCTGTTATTTTTTGCATAAAATAATTTTGAAATGATAGAATGTGCATTAGTTTCAAAAAATGTTAAGACATTCAGAATTACATAAGTGCATTTTATAATACATTAGGGAATAAGTTTACGTTGGAGATTTTAAGAGAGATGATTGCGTCCAAAAAGTATTATAGAATGATAAGGTACTAACTCTGTACTTCTAGATTATAGAACGCATATATTGTGATAAAATCATTTTTAAACGACCTCCATTTCTGTTTTCCTGCCGGTAACACTATTTAATATGTCATAGATTTCAAGTATAAAAAACTTACTGATTTAGTGTATTACGTTTTGTATACTTTCATAAAAGTATAGAAATCTTTTTCATTCAGTACGTTGCAAGTACATATTATGCAACTATTGTAGTCGCTAATGACCATAGCAGTCGATGTGACTCAAAACATTGAATTAAAACAAAATTAAAGTGAGATTTCCATTTACTCTACGAAACATACTTTTATTAAAAATTTTATAGAAAATAGATAGAGCACTTGTACTGATAATTTTAACAGGCTATAGCAGTAAAGAGTTCTATACAATGATAGAAATACATTCGTAAGTACACATAGGTGTACTTACGAATGTATTTCGTCCAATCCTACTCGGTTTGAATTGTCTGACTATGAACGTGTCGATTCTACTTACGATATAGCATGAAGCAACTCCTGTTTTTGTTTCTCCTTCAGCTTCACACTACCCCCTTCAGCAAGTGCAACTTGTAACTCTCTTTGAAGAACCGCCAATTTACGGCGTTCACCTTCCAAAAGTAGAGAAGTAACCTGTAACAATAAATTTGGAATTCTAAATTAGAAAAATGAACTATCCAATTATTCAAGTACCATCACAGACAAAATCAATGCACAATCAATAATTAAAACAAATACACCAGCATCAAAAACTATTTTAAAACATAAAAAATACAAGGTATTATTTGTTTTATTATGTATAAACCGCTCTTTTCTCTTCCGAACAGTTTTACCTACGCAAGCACACAACATGTCCAGCAAACGATGCATTCTCAGCGCTCTATTTCGATCACACGAATATTTCATCAACCCTCTGTGTTCCCTCCACCGAAAAATAGTTTACGCCGAATATTAGTGTTTCTTAACAATTTATATCTTAAAAAATTGCTCCCAATTTGCTCTCTCGGAATCTAAAATTGCTCCCATCGCACCGTTTATATTTAATGAGATATTCGCAAATGAAAAAGCAAAAATCTGTTGTCTGCAAAATATGTAGATAGTATGTAAATGGTCTTTTTACACAAATATTATGGTACCAAAAAATTGCTCCTGATCTGTTTTATAATAATCAAAAGTCAGATATCTCAATAGCAACATATTAACAAGGAGCAATTGAAATAATGCTGTTACATACAGGTTAGGTATACGTCGTACGGTAGACGCTCGTTTATTGCAAACTTCGAGTCTGTAGAGGGCCAGAATTCCAGGAATATTACAATATCTCATTAAATATAGATGTTACGATGGGAGCAATTTTAGATTCCGAGGCAGCAAATCGGAAACAATTTCTTAAGATAAAAATGTTTAAAAAAATACTAATATTCCGCGCCAACTATTCTCCGGTCTTCCCTCCACACTCAAAATCAATTACAACGATTGCAGTTCTCTTTTTTACCGGTAACCAGTCAAGAACCTCCATCGATCACGTACCAACAACCGACAGGAAAATTGCCTCCAAAAACCAATCGATAACAAAAACCCCAAGCACAAATCGATAAAACAGTTCAATGGCGGGTAATTTAAAAATTTCATCGATTTATCGTAATATATAACTCGTAAGGCATAAAATCTCTGGTATTACGTTCTACGATACTTAATGTTCAAACGCCAGACACAGTTGCTGTGTCTAAAATGGAAATAGGGAATGGAGTTAGTTCACGGAGGTGTATCCATGTATCGCCGAGTGTAGCCAGTGCAAAATTCGCTTTCCTGTTCGCCACGATAACGATCTCTCGCGTGTTTTATCATCGTGCACGTACTGTGTTCTCCCTCAGCTGTGTGCAATGCGTACGGTAATGCACCGGGCGTAGGTGCCTGCGTGTCTCGGGAACAATCTCGTACACGGAGGAATACGGAGAACCAGAATAGATATCTTTCGAGAGATAGGAGAGCAAACTTAAGTCGCGAACGCGCACTACGATCTGCGAGGTGGCCTGCATGCGAATGCATTCCGTAATTGGCTGAAACCGCTGAACTTCCTACGATTATATGACTTATTATTCCATCGATTATGCAAATTTCGGGGTGGATGGAAACTGATTGCGTTTGCGTCTTGTCTTCGAATCCACGAATTTGTGTAATAGTTTTGTCATGATTAAAATAGATTTTATGCATTTATTGATATTGATTATTTTGAGAATTGAACATTTATTAATGATTGTTTAGAACTCAGTCCATTTACCCTTTATAAGGCAGTGACAATCATATTGCCAACAACTGTTTATTTTTTTACTGTTTACCTTTCGAGTTTTAAATTTGGTCGACAAAGGGGTTATTTTACGATAGTGAGATAAATTTAACTTGACCTTATAAAGGGTTACAAAGTTCAATAAATTGTAATGAAATTTTCATATTACTTGGAATGTTACAGAGTGTTTAATAAGATAAATATGTTTATATTTGATTTTTTTTTCCTGTAAATTACTTCATAAATGTCGGTATTTGCGTGAACTTCCGTGGTCTATTTACTCATGAATTTTCTACGTTCCAGTGTGTTACGAACACATAAAGTCTAGTGTCTTAGCGTGTTATCAATATTTATGAAAGATTGAACCATAAGTAGAACTCGTTATGGTGAATTTTTATTATTAATATATTAGATGAAACTGATATTTAATGTAACACACATGTGCAACAAACTTAAAAGGTTTAGGAAAATTATCTACATTACATCCCGTATTCTAGAATATCCGTAGAATTCGTATAATACTTGCATATCTACATTTACTTACATTCACAGTCGTACTAAATGTCAGTTTACCGCTCAAGCTGGTTAGACCATTACTTAATCAGGTCCAGAATATTCTCGATCATTCGCATGTATACTAACCAAAACTATTTACAACTCTTGTAAAAATCGTCAGCATAAAATGATTATAAATAATCTCGCTATTACAACAGAATTATAACGTTACTAAATTAACACATTGACTGCCACAATTTTTTACTTTTACGTCAGTTATCATGACAAAATCTATTTGTTTAACTGTTTTCTATCGTGAAGATAAATATTTACACGTTCAGTTGTGCACTCCTTCTTTGGATCTATGTTCTATTATTAATTATATTTACCAGATTTGAAGTATTATCGTTTAAACCACCGTGACAATTAGCGTGCAGACACCGATTGTCCTGGAAAAATACAGAAGGTAATTCAGCTAACGTGAAATACGAACGCTTTCTCTTCAAAACAGTATCGCGTCATTCCCTTAAATAATGGAACCTAATCATCGTGGATGACCATTGACGTCCACCACTATCCGAGAGTTAACCATCGTCCCGCCAGCCGTGCTATCGATAGCCGTCTGGCTATCGAGCCCCGCTGATAACAGCCCTTCGATCCACTCGACGTGAAAATTTGATGTCACGGTAAAGTTACGTGTATTACCCGGCGAGACGAGTGTTAGCTGTGCTGCAACAAACGATACGATATCAGAGTTTGTGGCCAGTTATAAAGTACAGGCTGTCCAAACGTTTCCGTAGCACACCCCCTCACTCGTTGAAATTTCGTGCAGATTCTCTGTTCTTTTTTTACTGTTCTTTTTTTTTCATTTCAAGGTCCCCTCGCGGTTTTCCTTTCGCCTAATGGCGTCATTACGTGATTATTCCCGTGGCGTTAATTCGATGAAGTCTTGGTTGATTAGTGGCTCTCGCAACTCAGCACGATTATAGAGTGGTCGCGAGGAAATTATTAGACGCAATCTGTTCTACGATAAATTGGAACAATGCTCGAGTGTAACAATAATCATTAATCGCTTCGAGTATACGGTGTAGTTTGTGGCTTGTTGGAACCACGTAATGGGGTGATTTTGGGTTGTGTTTGCGGGGGGATAGAATAGTTGTGGCACAATATAACTTCTCCAATTAATATCGTGGCTATTGCTAAATTGCAAATAGATGGTATATTATTAGTAGGTACGAAATACTAATATGTTTCTTTATCCATTCTTACGTCCGAAGAAAGCTTGGATCTCGTAAAATTGGAATAATTTGGTGTGAATGTTATTGTAATCGAAATTTGCAAAATAATTGGAATTATAGTATTCTGGAAATATTAATGCGTGTGTATATTTATACGGGTTTCCTGTGGATTTAATCGGTTATAGGTTCTATAATGTGAAATATCTTTAATTCTTTTACATTGTTCAATTTCACTGAATTCTAAACTAGTTGCACAAAGTATATTCTTAAATATTAATGTAATTCATAATTATATAACATAATATATTTCACAATTATATTAATATTCAGAATATTAAAAACCCATTGTTACGCTATGGCCCTCGAGAACTAATTAGTAACTTATGAACGTTTCTGCGAATTTGCATCAATAAATGAAAATTTATTTCCAATGCATAAATTGCAGCATACCACAAGCAAAATTCGTTCGTTTGAATTCTTTCTGCATCTTAGACTTAACATTTAACGAATTCAAAAAATTGAATTTCGTAAGCTGAAGAGAAATGTTTTATATACTTTAGGATAAGATTTATTTGTGAAAGAAGCATGAATAGATTAATTCTTAAATTAGTCTTTGACCCTCTTCGTCATTCTGGCTCGAGGACGAAAGAAGAGACAAAAGAGACATTCAATCCCTACATTCTTAGAAGTTCCCTTCTGTATCGATACATTATTAAAGGTTCTATTTTTACGTTGCTGCTAGTTTATTTTTAGCAATCGCTATGTCGTTCATCAATCCAAACTATTGTTACGACTTCGTGTCTATATAAAACCTCATCAACTGTTTTATTTTTACTTTGCTATAAGTTTATTTCTATATTCTTAGATCACAATATCCTATACTCAAACTGCGATTAATCTACTTAAATTAAAGCTATTTTATAAAAACGATTTTACAAACTGTTTCAATTCGAAAACCTGATCGATATTATCATCCATTCACACTAGGAGGACTACCAACGACAAATGTATATCAATTACGATCGGTCGATAAACATGACAAACTTTCGAAAATTTACAAATGTATAAATTGACTAATTTCTTCACGTTTATGTCGTAATAAAAGTTGAATATATTGTTATAACATTTTAATTATCCTTACATGAATATACTGACAAATTATTTTTACTTATTTGGTAGTCCCAGTGTTCGTAAAGTATAGGTATAAAGTGCTGACAATTTATCATTGCAACGAGTATCATGTACCCCAGGACGTTCTGTAATTTAAATCTAAAAGGCGATATTTTTCACTAAAAAAATATTCACTTCGGAAAAATTGTAAACTCTGTCACAATTATTAGTTAAAAATCATAATATACACTAACTCGAAATCTCATTACAATTACAGGCAACAAAGAAGCTGTTATCGAACGTTACAGAAAAATTGCTAAAACCTAAAAGTCCATAAAGTTATTTAAAAAATGTTGGTGTGGAAAAAAACTGTCCACATTCACCGTACGCGCGGCAGAACAAACGAAATTCCGAAATAGAAAAAACATTTCTCCCTAGGGACGCTATTATGATTACCAGACAAGTGAGTGACGTTTCGCGGGTATACGGTTTATTAAAGATGT